ATATATGGTTAACTGCAAAAATGGCGATAATGCTGGTGATATTGATATAGAAGGTAACAGGTTTGAACAGGTAGAGAAGTATCAAGGGTCTATGATAACTAGAAAATACGAAATTGAAGAGGAGATTAACGTTAGTCTGAAGGTGGGAAATCCTTGTTATTTTTCTGTGGCAAAACTACTTAGCTCGCGGAATTTAAAGACTAGAATCTATAAAACCATTGTCTTACCTACAGTTCTTTATGGATTTCTCAGTTAGTCAGTGAGGAAAATTTCCCGCGGTTTAAGGATTTCATAAATGGATGGAAGACGGCAGTGGGGCCCGCAGAAGAAAAAGACAGGCGCCAGGAAGACCTCCAGATTCTGGAAGCTAGGCCGAAAGAAGAAGGAAGAAGAAAAAACAGAAGAACTGTGTGCATATCTAGTAGTAGTGTGTTATTAAGTATTCATGCCTAAAACACACTATCGCAAACACCCGTATTGCCATTGTGGCATGGGAGGGGGGGAATAAATAACAGTTCTTTATGGATGCGAAACGTAGCCGCTTATATTAAGACATGAGCAACGTCTTAAGGTTTTTGAAGATTGCGTAGAATATTCGGATCAAAGAAAGATGAGTTAACCGGAGAGTTCAGAAGGTTTGCGTGAATTGTATCCAGTTAATATAATTGATTACATCGCGGAGAATCAAATGGGCTTTTAAAATAGTTGGGCTTAGTAACGAAAGACTTTTTAAAAGGTTGATATTTTCTGTACCGAATGGTAAACGTCCGAGAGGTAGACCAAAGCGAAGGTGAGAAGATTCTGTTAAAGCCGATCTGAAGGGTTTGGACGGCGAATGGTGGAGGGAGGTGTGTAATAAGCGATTGGTGGTGTCGGCATCGAACCTCCGGGTTCGCTAAGTCTTTTATTTTATTTTATTATTATAATACAAATAATATTTTGGCAACATATCATATCTTATTAGACAAAAGGAATTTAAGAAATTTAAAATGTATTCAAAGCAATATTCTGGTAAAATATTAGTATATTTATATAATTACTCACTAAAATTGTTAAATATGCAAATGAAAAATCTACACCCAACGACGAAACTACGATTTTTATTGTGAGGAGCAAGCTTAATTTTCGTTCCCTGTCTTTCACCTCGTGCCGTCCCATGATAAAAATTATCGTTTTATAACAGCGTTTTAGGTAATACTTACTACACCCCGTTGAGGACTCTCACATTAGAAAGTTATCTGATGAAGAATTTGTCGTATAACCCACATCAGCTATTTGTCGTATAACGCACTGTATACATAATATGTTAATATGTATATTAAGTGTCCGTGAGGAGAGGGAAATATTTAAGAAGGTAACAAAGAAGGAAAAATTCATGCTGGCATACCTGCTTGCTTTTGAGAGGAAAATCCTTCGCCGAATATATGGGCCCACCTCGGACAATGGAGAAGGCGTAGAAATAGAGAAATCTATGCCCTCTATAAGGAGCCTGATGTAGTCGCGATCACACGGATGCCAGAGCAATATACCCTGAAGAAAATAATAAGAGAGCAGCAATTGGCATGCACAGAGTTGGGAGACCCAGGCTGAGCCGGTCGGACTGTGTCTCAGGTGACTTAAGATCCATTGGAGTGAGAAATTGGATGGCAGCTGCACAAAATAGGGACGTATGGCGATTGCTGTTGGAGGAAGCTAAGACCCGTTGTTGAGCTGAATTAATTAATTAACAGCAGACATCATGAGCTACAAAAAAAAAAAATCATCTACACAATGGTCCGGTTTTTGGAAGAAAAGTGGCAAATTGGATTTTTGTGTTTCTTTAAGCAAGAAACACGTTTCGCGTTGAATAAAAAGCAATAACTAAAAAAATATTAAATTTAGTTAATTAACATTACAGCAAAATAAACTAGACTAAATTTACTTGAAATCAAAGCAGAGTTTGTCATTGTTAAGGCCATTTAAAGAGAACTTTAAAGCGGCTAAAGTAAGCTAAGTTCTGTTTAAAAAAAAATAATGAATTATTCGCGAATTTTTGTTAATCTCTCTCCGACTACAGATACAAATATAAACTTTTAGAAAAACTTCATAGAGCTATTTTCTTCCATTTACCTTTTCAATAGATTTTTAGTTCATATTCGTAAATGACGATATTTAAATTTTCAACCATACAAATGTGTAAAGTGTATCCCATGGCAACCATAGCAAATTTATTTTTATCCTCACCTTCCTCATTTTTTAGGCTACACGTGGTTTTTCTCATGGCAGAGGAGAGGGCCGGGATTAATAGCAGAGTCAATAGCCCTTACGGCACCATGACGCGAACTCGTAATTTACCGTATTATATAAAGTGTAGGCAGAGTTGATATTTATTGTAAAAATTGTAAAAATAAAAATGTTTGTTTCATAAGTTAAAAAAAAAACAATTTTGTCGCCCGGAGCAAGTCCTCCCTTTGCCCCTCTCTAGTTCTATCCCTGTGCTTATCAGTCAGCCCTTTAGAATTATAATTAAAGAAATATATTACATATTATTATATTTACATATGTATTAGTATATCACCTCCTTGCTCAACAGTTGGCTAAGAAACAGTATTTTCCCTAAATAGTGCTGAACCCAAGACCCTTCATGGGTTTTAGTCGTATACTTTTTCTTTTTTATTAGTGTATAATCATCTACTTCTATTGCGCATTAATTCCTTTAACATTATATTAGGAGCGAGTCTGAATAAGACCCCGAGAGAAGAGCGTGGAAAATCTATCCATTCCATGCCTCCGCAGCCCTCTCATCGACTAATTGTCCGATGAACGGGAGTCGTGCCGAGCGGAGAGAGGCTCAAGAAGACGGTAATTCCTCAAGAACGGTCCGTGATCTGAGGACCCTATTTAGCGGCAGTCCAGGAATTAGCGAGTGCCGGATTGCTGAGTGAACATCTGGGTCACCCGGTGAAGGGCTTTGGAGGATATCGGACCGCTGCCGGTGTAACATGGTAAGATGGTAACATCTCTTCTCTTCGGTCGAAACCATATCTAGAGGGAGAAAAAAATTAAAAGTTCATTAGTTACTCTCCTAGGATCTCCTCTGTCCCTCTGACGGCAGACCAGCCCCCATTTTACAAATTATACAACTGTTCATTTAAGTGTGCCATTCGTTGTCCAAATGTTATTTACATGTATTCTGAAGTTCAGATTGTATCATTTTTTTATTTATTAACATAAAATAAATAAACAGTTCGAACAAATTTTTAAATTCTTTAGTCTATATTATACATTGCGCCTTATTGATAATTTACATTATTATATAATGTAAATTATTCTTATTTCCAATTGGTAACCATAATAAGGGAATAATAATTCTAGAAATAAGAAGTGTAGTCTTCGTTGCGGTCCGTCCTGCTTTGTACATTTAAAATAAAACATTACACAGTCATCAATAAAAACTTTTTTATATAATAGAGCGATTACTAAAAGTAATTTTTTATTCTCTTACATCATCAGTGAATGATGAGGATCTCTTGGACAACCGTTGGCCTTGGTAGTACAGTACAGTACTTCTTTACAAACATTTTTTAAAAGGTAAAACAACATCATTTAAACCAAACCCGTAATGTTGTAGCTTTATATTTTTCTTCACAATAATTGTAAATAACCTACAGGAAGTTGAATGTAAATGATTAGTTTTGGCGGGATTAGGCGCATAGCCTTCCGCTTTTGTATCGGGCTTTAAGGTTATTTACACTCTTGAATCTTTAAAACAAAACCCCGGCTCTGGATATCGACTTTTTGAGGGTGTTTAACTGTGATTGGGAATTCGGGGCTCTATTACCTTTTATGACACTGTGTGAGAAGAATGAATTGACTCACCTGGTTTATTCTTCAATTGTGAGGCCTATAGGACAACTAAATAAAAGGACTATTCCCTCCGGTATAATAAAACAATTTATTTTGACAACTGATAATAAATGAATATATATATATTTTTTTTATTTCTTTATGACGTTTACAACTGTATTACATAAATACATCAAGTAAATTTGAACATAATTGATATAATGACATGAATACACTTGCTGAGTAACTACCCAATGGTAGCACTCTAGTGAATATATATGAGTGAACAGTTGGCTTGATAATCTTGGTCTTCAATGTAGTAAGCCTCTCTTCCCAGATGACGTCTTCTTGTATTGGTGTCCAGGCCTAAAAGTGTTTGGCGTCGTCCTCGCCATCTGTTGCCAGCTACCTGATCGGACCTTTTCTTCTTTTCGATTCTTTATCGATGTGAGATTTTCCAATGAGCAATTTGTCCACTGCACAATTGAGTACAATTCACAGTGCTACCTCACATTCCTATATATTATATATACCTTCTCATTCCCTCACACAATGTCAACTAATGGTGTAAATACAGTCTACTACATAATATTTCACAAGCAATTATAAATTTTTTTATAATTTTTCATAGAGGCGGTATAATGGTATTAAGTAGAATGAGTTATTTTAATAAGATAGCTTTCCACAAATTGCTGAGTACCATTGAAATAAAAAGTTTTGAAAAAGGTTATATATAGGAACAGAAATGAAAAGGATTTGCTCCTACATAGTTCCCGCTCAGTGAACAATTATGTTTACTGATATGAATCATCTAAAACCATGATATTTACAACTTATGACTTGTACAACTATGAATCAGAAAAATATTAACAAGCATTGTATGATATGGACGTTGAAGATTTTTTTTTTTATTATATAAATGAGATATCAACTACCAGGTAAATGAAAATGTTATATAAATAGAGAACATGTAAATAGAAATATGCTTGATAATATATTTGAAATAATTGTTATGTTACATATACCAGAATAAATTGTCTTTGAAGATTGGTCAAAAAGTCCAAACGTCAGACTAAAGGTAAAAAAAAATACAAATAGAACAGATATATTTTCTTTATGAAATCCATGAATAAATGTTTTATTGTTTAATTAATAATAAAATGTTCTACCGTGAGATGTCAACTACCAGGTAAATTAAAATGTTATATATATACATAGAGAAAATGTAAATAAAAAATGCTTGATAATATATTTAAAATAATTGCTATGGTGCATATAACAGAATAAATTGCCTTTGAAGATTGGTCAAAAAGCCTTCAGACTAAAAGAAAAAAAAAGTAAAAATATAACAGGTATCTTTCCTTTATAAAATCCATAAATAATATTATTTAATTAATAATACAATTTTCTATTTAATTCTAAGCTAGTGTCCTATTTGTCCCTTCTCTCCAAGTTTCAGTCCTGGTCAATGGTGCTGGCAACGAACCTGCAGATTAGCTAAGCCTTATTATTTTTAGTATTGTGTTATTATAGATAACTGTACCTTTTTTATATGAGAAAAAGATATATGGTCTTAACAGTATCGATTTTCACACGGGGGTATTTGCCGATTTGCTCGGAACTGTATCCCACACTACTCTGATATCCTCATGGCCTTTCCCCGCCGTTCGATCCTTATCCGTAAAATGACTGACCTAGCTCGGAAGGATAAGGAGCAGGCAGGATCGGGAGATTCACCGTGTCCGGGCTGCCCCAGTGACACTGAAGGCGGTTCGACACAGCCGAAAGTGTCCCTCCTCACTTTCTGCGCTAATAGCGTCCAGTCACCCTCCGCTTTCCATCGATAGGCGATCTGTGTGGACTCTAGGGTGGTCGATCTTTATGCTGATTCGATAGGCCCCGTTTCTAGGCTTATTTGTCGTGTTTATACGAGGTTTGAAGGTATCTGTCTGTGCTAACCTGCTAAAGTGTTATTAGTTATAGTAAGATCACGCCTGTACTGTAAACAAAGTTTGTCTGTTCCTAATTGATCTAGTAAAGTTTTGATTTATTTTTAAAATGCCAAAGCGACTTTAAAATACGAGATTTCGGGATTATTTGATTAACAGTACTTTATTAGAAAGCATGAATGAAGATTCAGATGGCAAAGAACTTGATGAATAAAAAGATGAAATCCTAGCTGTCTGAACATTTCATTTCTGTGGATATTGTGCACAGACAAAGAATGAAAAACATCAAAAGCTTATATAATACTCTTACCAGTGTTGCCCAAATGCGAGACCGAGACGAGTCTTGGTCTTGCAAACTCAGTCTTCGTCATGGTCTTGGTCTTGCGCAAGAATCTCGCCACAGTCTTGCAGTTACTTATTCCTTATTACTATAGAGATATTACTGTAATTTTGAGGAGTTGAATGCAAAAGGATATTGGTTACACCAATTATTAGCATATAACAACTAAGATTGTTACGTATAAGTAACTATTTTACCTTAATTTTTATTTAAAATATCTATTTTTTTTTACCAGTCCTGGTCTTGGTCTTGCAACAGTTAGGTGGTCTTGGTCTTGCAAATTGCAAGACCAAGACCGATTTTGGGGAACACTACCAATCTGGCCATAAACTAACTAAAAATTCTAACATAATATACATTATTTAAAAAGTAGTATGTAACCACTAAGAAATAAACAAAAAAAAAGCTTCATTCTTGCTATACACATATATAAACACACGCACATATATATACATACACACACATACACATGTATATACATACACACACATACACATATATATATATATACATACATACACATACATATACACACACATACATACACATACATATATAAGTGAACATACAATCTTCTCCAAATTTACTTATTATTACGATAAAAAAAAAAAAAAAAAGACAGAAAAGAAATTACTTATCTATATATACATAACTGCACAATTTATAAACAATAGGCTATCTAATAGAAACATAATTTAATACAAAATGTAATAATATTTACAGTAATTCATACATTAATAAGCAAACACTAAGATAAAATAAAATCTCAGGAATAATTGTGGTATAAAGGTAAAAAAGGAACTATAATTGATATAATACTTAGTACTGGTTGCATGAATACCCCTATTGTACGAGGTACGAGGTTCAATCAACGCCGTACTCCATACAAAAGTTTTGCTTTCGTATTGCAAAATTATATTTAAGTCTTATTGCAAAATAAATAAAGTATTGTTTAACAAATATTTTATAATGTTTTTTTTTTCTGTAGGAATTATAGACTATACAGATCTTTTGCTATGTCTTGGGCTATTTCTTTACATTTATCTGCACGCAGCTCTATTGAATGTTTGATGATTCTATCCATCCATCTGCTTTTTGGCCTTCCACGTAATTTGCCTTCTATTGAGGCATTCATTGTTCATTGTTATTCCAGATAGCCTCTGTGCCTTCATAGCATTGGCAATAATAATGATATTATTAATGCCACATTTTGACAGGGTTTTAAATTTGTTTTTTTTTTTTTGGAAGAGGGGATGCACATTTCGATGGGATTATGTATTTAATTTTCAAACCAGAGAACATGAAGAAAAACCAGAAACAGACCACACAAAACAAGCGTAATGGTGTACGATCTAACATTTTTCTAATTATATTTTCGCTTGCATTGTTTTTAATAGGAATAAAGTAATGGAATTTCTTGGAAGAGTGGTGGAGGATGGGAAAGTTTATGCGCTAAAAACCTTGAAGGTATCCCTGATAGGATTATCGAATCCTTTGAAACGTTTTTTGAAATAGTTTTTAAAGTTTACAGAAAGTTGTCAAAAGGTTTCTCAAAATGAATGCAATTTTATAAGTGCCCTGTTAAACCTAAGCCATACCTTAAACAAAATGTTTTTTTTCCTTAATCTATTAACTTGAAATAAAGGTTTTAAAATGTGTGATTTGATTTAATATGCAAAGTTTCAAAAAAGAAAAAAAAATTGTGCCTACAATATTTGTACAACTTTTCAAAAAACACGATGATTCGTTATTAGTGAGCTGCAGCACTTGTTTTAAGTCTTAAGTAAAATCAAGCATACGAAGATTCCTAAGTTCTACTACGATTTCAGAAAAATAATCTTAAACTCCTTATTTTTTTATTTATTTTATCAAATAATAAAAGCTACCAATGGAAATACGAGATCTTCATAGAAATATTAAACCGAAAACATATATGAAATGAACTAATTAAAATTTTAAAAATCTACCTAGATTAAAACAAACAAAAAAATAAATTTTCAGAGTGAGTGTAACAAAAATATATGGAATTTAAAGGGTAATATCATAATGAAAATACAACCGAAAATAATTTGTCAGAGTAAGAAGTTCCAGTATGTAGGGAGGGTTTTTGGTTCTGAAGACTTGGAAAAGGAAAACACCAAGGAGGAATTGTCGTCTGGAAGTAGGATAAAGCCACTTCAACTCGGTGTACCAGAGTGAAACATGTGAACGCCTGGGGATCCCGAAAATGTATCATATGAAACAATTCATGAGTCTCTTCAGTCTCATTTCCAGCCTGGCAGATAGCCCTCCATACACCAAACAGCCGTAGTCGAAGTGGGGGAATATAAGGGAGGTTACAAGGAGATTTCTGGTTTTTAGAGGAATACACGGAATCTTAGGAGTTGTTTAAGACAATATGTTGTCTATTAGGAGTTCAAAATAAAAAATCACGAATAATCTATGATTTTAAGAAGAACAGAACGTCATTTATTCATTTATCTAAGTTTCGGGTAAGCTGGTTCAATTGACCGAGATCGCAGACTACTTTCTTCGCTTCTTCAGAATGGCCCTGGAGATAGGAGAGCGATAAACGCCAGTAATTTCTTCAAGACCCGAGAGGTCACGTAATACCGAAGGCGGTGTTCTCTCTTCTTCGGCCATTTCCTCAGTTTTTTATTCTATATTGGTTTAGTCAGCCGTTTTACCGCCATTATAGAATTTCTTCTTTCTTCTTTAATAGCCACGTCCGTTTACGGCATTCTTCTCTAACTACTGACCTTTAAGACATTCGAAAAACAATTGTTTCTTGAAAGAAACCAATATTTATTCTTGTAATTTATTATATTATATTTTCAGTTCTTTGAACTTTCTCTTCATTTCTGAAAAATATAAAAAAAACAATACGCTAGTTTTTATCTGAAGGAAATCTCTTCCAATTATAAGTAATGTATTTATTAGGCCTGTTTTCTCGTCAACGTTTCGGACTCTTGACTCATTATCATAGAATATTTTCTATATGAAGACGATCACAATTACCATAGAGATAAAGATATAGACTAAAGAATAAAAATAACTTTTTTTGTAATTAATTAAATATATTACTTTACATGTACATTTAGTATTTTATTACTTGAAAATTCTTTAAAATTTCAATTTTAAGGATTAATAATTATATGTAGAGATCGAATATTCGTGCAGTAAAAAACTGGAAAGGTGCTAAATTGTATAATAAAAACCTAAAATTTTTAAAATTATGAAATTAACACCTAATATCCGGGAAAAATCATCTACTTAGTTTAATTTATTGTATTAATTAAAGACTGGGTTTTAATTTTATTGCACATTTAATTCAGTTTGATCAGGTTTCGATATAATAATATAAATATAAATTCGATGTATTAATATAATAAATTTTAAAAAATTGATGATTTTTTCAAGTGTTAATTATACTAGTTGGCACATTTTGAGTTTTTTATAATTTTAATAATATTCTCAGACCTCATTTTTTTTTAGTACCGTTATTGTTTTACCTGAGTTTCACTTATTGTTAATTCTCCCTTCTTTTTTTCTATGATCTATTGAAAATTGAATTACTTTGGATAAAATAATATTTTCGCATTTTTTACCTGTATAATTGTATAAATTTAATATTATGCATCAAAATCCATATTTTCAGAAATAATTTTAATCTTCTCAGCCAAATGTTAAAAAGTTCGTCTTTTTGCTTGAGTATATTTATTTTGCATTTATGTCAATCCACGGAGGATTCACGTATATTATTTCTGAATTTTTTTTATAAATTACTGAAATTTTAAGTAATATGAAATAAAAAAATCGGTAACATTCTTCGTGACGATCACTGCTTTCACACATAAGAATAAATTACTACCATCTTAATCAATGATTATAATTTCAATTAATTTTTACTCTGAGTTTAACAAGAAAAAAGAAAAATCTTATTTGCGACTGTGTTTATTTCTATTGAAGTTCAACCAGCTCGTCTTGGTATCGAGTTTCTGTTTAATTTTTACATATATTTTTACATTCCAGCTTAAATGGTTTTGTTCTGAATGAAGAAAAGTATTGGTCTCATTAACTCTGAAAAAAAACAAAATGTTTAGGTTTTTCTTATGGATTTTTTGTATGATCCATTTTAAGAGTCAAAACATGCCGATGAAGTATATATCACAACTGTTAGTGGAAAAGGTCTTATGCAAAAATGTTCAACTTTTAATTCTATTTGTGCTAAAGGTGATATTTTATATTCTGTAACTGATATAAGCATTCTGCTACGATGAAAAATAGTAGAGGGCAATAAATTATGAAATTATACTAATAAATCATAAAGAAAAAATTAGTTTTTATGCTTCTCTGTAAAACACTCAATGTTTATATACGACGTTTTGGACTAACAGTAGTGATATTCATGTTCATTCGATTTTTTTTTTAATCCCGAGTCATCGAATAGGCAATTCGCATATGGGAAAATTTTTCGCATTTTAGTATTCGCTGATGAACAAAAATCGTGGATATCAAACCCGTATATGTTGAGGGATTACTGAATTTTCCAAAACGG